GTGATCTGAACGGGAGGTTAATATCAGTCTATGTGAAGCAGTTGAAGTGCCCCTACCCCCTCACTAATATCTTCTGAAAGACAATTTTGTTTTTATTTTCATTTGAATACAAAGTAGCATACAACGTGGGAATCGAAAAAGTCACAAGGGTGAGCCCTCAAGTAGAAATAGGGTAGCATGCAGAAGGATCCACTGGAGATTGTGAAATTGCAAGGCTGTTGACTAAGTGAAAATATGGGAACTTTTAGGGCCTAGTGACTAAAGGTTTAAAACCTCATCTGGTAAAAAGAGAAAAATCTTCTAGATAAGCAATCAAGAAAGCCAACATTTCTTTCTGTATTAAAACTGCAATTAAAAGAGCCTTTATAGCGAAAACATAGTCAGTACAAAACAAAGTTAAAACTCGATGCATAACATCACGTCAAAGGAAGGCGCCTTATACTAACAGCAACCTTTCCAACTTTTGTTAAGACGAAAATAGTAGATATAAGCCGTTTGTTAGCATTAGACCAAAACGATAATTTAATTTATCAAAATCACCTTTTTTGTAATATTCTTTGACAAAGAAGAGAAAGCAACCCTACCGTTGTCGGCGTTAGGTCCAATAAAATGTTCAAAGCGCGCTTTCCTTTTCATCCTCTGCAATCTGCCAATCTATTTTCCCATTTCCTCATAACATTGTGCTGCTTTTCAACATTTGTTCTCACCCTAAAAAGCGTATGTTGGATATCGCTGTATTCGTTGCAAGCTCAAAACAATCGAGTAGATTTGTGAATTTTGGGAAGCCTCCCATTTAGGTCTCGTTTTCGTTTCCAAACAATGGCAAACTAACAACAGAAAAACAACAAGACCCTTGGCTGTACCAGTAGAGTTTTGGAGTTTCTTATTATGTTGGGGACTGAGTTACGTTACATATTTGGCTACAATATTAATCCACAAGTCTTGCAATGTGGCTCTGCTATTTTGAATTGGGAATTCCAGAAGTTACATTGGCATTAATTGATTGCGAAACTCGTCTGTTGAAGGCAGATTTTATCCATCAAATGCTTTATTTATTTCGATCGCAAGATGTGGTGGATTTTTAATAAGAGTTGATTGTTCAATTTTTTTTATTGAAAGTTGTTTAAAAGTTGATTTATAATCAACATGAGCTATTCTCGTTGCCCTTTCATGAATCCGGTTTATCTAGCTATTACTTTTTCTACTACAAAACAACAAAATAAGAGGACAATAGCTAAAATATGATAAAACGAATGATTTTCTTAAAAGAAAAAGCTTAGAGTCACGCAGATACGAAGCAAGCCCTGTTAGCGGATTCACTTTTCTAGGAGAGATTTTGAAAAGGTGAGCATTTTAGAAAGAGCATCTTGCATTTTGTAAATGTCTTAGAGGAATCGGGATCACATTTTGTTTTTCCGATGGCAATGTCTGTAGTATAATATTTGAAAATTTAGAGTTCAGAGAAGGAGGTGAAAGAGACTTCACTGGTGGACGGTGGCTCCCTCGCAACCTGGCAAAAGCATGCGTAAATATCTTGGGAGATTTCATTGAATATCTTGCAAACCGAAATGAAGAGAAGTACCGTGAATTCTTCTTTCAGCCCCTCGGGAAGCTTATTGTTTTTCAGCACTTTAAAGGGGGGCTTTTAAGAGAGGGGGAGAACATTGAGAGAGGGAGCTTCAAAATATTTTGTAATAAAAAACCATTTATAGTGGTAAACTAATTTTTTGTTATTTACAAGATAAAAAAAAATCGATTATTAATTCTTAAATATCTTCTTGGGCCATGTCGCCTTCCGAAATCGAGCATTCAAAAAGGTCGACTTCATCCCTCAGAGTTCCAACGGCCTGTACTTTTGGGAAAAGGCTCTCACATGGCCCGTGCTCAATGCACATCAAATCTTTGTTTTCTGATCTGTCGTAACTGGAACAAACATGGTATGAATTTTAATTTTATGCGAAGTATTGAACGAGCAAATGATAAAATGAAAATCTCTGTTTTTTTTCAAGTTTACTTATTTCGGGATCAGTGAAAATATAGGGAGTCTAAATTGAGAGAAAGGCTAATTAAGTTTTTTAGAGGGGGTTCTAGTTGAGAGGGGGGCTAATAAAAGGAAGCTAATAAGAGAGGGGGGGGCTTAATTGAGAGGGGGGCTTAAAAGAGAACTTATAGTAGTTAATGTACAAACAGAGATATTTGATAAATCCCATGCCTAATCTAGACCAGCAACTCCACCAGTCAAGAGGAGTTAATTACAGGGACCGCACTGAGCTTGAAAATACAATGAAACTTGAAAGTAATTGTGAAAAGTAAAAAATTTATAAGACAGAGCTAGGCTGAGAAAGGTAAGATGCTCTTCAGCCAACATGCCAAAAGTGGAAAGTAGTTTGACATCTACAGGTAATCTGTTAAAAGTCTTTACACAAATATAGATTTCTGACCATGGCAAGTGTTCATCTTTGTAACAGGTACATCGGTCTCGGGAACTCCACAAGTAATGTTTAAGTCACGTGCAAAATTGTTTCTTGAATAAGTACGAAAGATCAACGGGTACAAGTCCTTATAACGCTTTGTATGCAAAAAACTGCTTCTTTTTATATCGTAATGAATATCATAGTTGATGCATCATCGTTTCTGTTCAGAAAATTCTAGCAAATATGTTTTGCAGCTTTTATACAGTTTGGAATCTTTTTTCACCGGAGCCTTCTGATACAGAACAGCAGTTACAACAACAGTTGCATCTATTACCGAGTTTTTGCAATTCAAAGAAATTAAAGAATGTTTTCCCTGTGCATTCTATGATCAATAAGTAAGCTAATTGGTAACTAATAAGTAAAGGAAGTATAGTAAGTAGCTGATAAGTAAAGTAACAAACCCGAGACATTGTTGGAAAACAAAATTTCGTGTTAAATTTCAAACAGAATAAACTCAGTTGTTGATTGAAGATTCATGCCAATACCAATTGGACAAGCCATTCATTAATTCATGTTTTCAACGTTTTTAGATGGAAAGTCGTAATATTAAAGAAAACAACGTGCTTGATAAACTATGGAAAACTCAGTCCCTTACGATTCAAAGAATTGAAGATTTAATGCCATCAAAGTTCAATTATTTAACAATTCAAAGAACGGAAGATGCGAAACAATTAACGGTTGATACTTTTGCTATATGTCTATAAGGTAGTCATCGACCTGATTGAGAGTAGGGGAAATTCGCAATATTGCAATAGTTAATTCACAGCACTTTTATGGAAATGGTAGAATAAAATTCACACAAGATTTGCATATATTATATCAAACTATATTAAAGATAGCAACGTTTTTTTTAAACTAAGAAATTTTTAGCTCTTGAATGGGAGAATGAATTAAAGTTTAGAAAATTCTAAGAAATATCTCGATTGCATCGTTGATCTCATTGCATATATAGATAAACTGTAGTTGCGGTAAGTCTCTTTTCAAGTTTTTCAGTTTTGTGTCCGAGGCAACATTGTGACGTCAGATAGATCTGCAATTGTTCACCGATTGCTGCCTATTCGTAATCAACGTTTGATTGTGACGTCAAATAAATTAACGGTGTATAAATAGTGATCAGCAATGATTGCGAACAACTCTTCTTAAGTTCGCTTGAAGGTTTGCACAGCAAATTCGACAAGTGTTGGATAGTCGTAATATTCGTTGTTAACGATTTACGAGGCGGTATTGTTTATTTGAAAAAGATCGCAAGATTGTGTCTTTTCGATCTTCGGCATGTTAGTGTCAGTTCTCTCGTTCTACTTGCTAATTGCAAGTAGCATAATGAGTTTGATACATTTAAGCATTGACAATCCAGCAAAGGTAAGTTTCCAAAATTATCTATAATACATTCGCTTTTCATTCTACTTTATGATGGTTTATTCTACTATGAACAGGAAGATGATAATTGACATAGAAATATATTCTTTTATTTCAATAAATGATGATAAGCCTTTTGGTGACAAATCAAAGGCAATTTGAAATGCTAGACTGAGACTCGATCTTTTCATTGATGTCTTTCCTTCAACTTGTCAACTCTAGACATAGTCTTGAGTCTAGTGAAGCTTCTAGCAAGTTAATGTTTGTTAATTTCACTTTCCTTTTTCTTTAGGGAATAGGACCATCCCTGCTTGGACAGACTGTCTTTGAATCTGGATATAGCATCTTTTCCATTGAAGGTAACATTTTCATTAGCTCTTTCAGTTGTTTGTTACTGCCTTATCAAAAACTGCACGTGTCCTTCAGAAAACTGAAACAATCTAGAACTCTAACCAAATGCAAGGTTTTGGAATAGCTCATTTTTTGTTTATATGTATCAATAGCAGCATTTAGCGTTGTCTCTTTTTTGCAGCAAAACCAAACCAGACAATGTGTGAGCCAAAAAGAAGAACTGCATTGATGTCGATTGGAGAAAGAATGTATAACACATTCGAGGATTTTACGAGTCAGATTTTCCGTCCTCCGATTGAAGTGAATGAATTTGGGCAGCAGCGAATTTATGCCTTGCTGAAAAACGGAAAAAAGGCCACGGTTTTTAGGAACAAGGTCATCTCTAAAGCACAGATAATGCAGATGAAACGGAGACAACATTATGAAAGGCAGCAAAGAACTGGAGAAGAAAGAAGAAAGAACAAAGATTACTGGATTTTCTGGTTTATTTTTGGAAATGAAGAGGATTCGAGAGACAAGGTGATAAAGAATGAAGAAAAGGCTGATTCAATCTTCCAAGAAGTAAAGCAAAGTCTTTCTACAGGTATTTTGAAATAGATTATCACAATTACCCATATTCAATCAATTTGAACTTTTTTACAAGTTTTAATATCTTTATGACCGAATTTCAAATTGGATTTGATCTTAAAAAATTTGCTTGGAATTACATTACAGAATTGGTAAAGAAAGTGGAATCCGCGCAGCAAAATTCAAAGCCAAAGAATTTGCATCACAAAAATGAAAATCATTCTGAGAAAAAATCTGATTTGGAATCGGGACACATGCTACGTAGTAAGAAAAAAAACCATCACAGAGGAAAAACAAGAAGAACGGCAAAATCTCGGGGAAGTTCGAAACTTATGGATAAAAGGAGAAAAGCAAAACTCGATATGAAAAATAAAGACGACATTAGCTGTGAAAATTCTGCAAATAATGGTAAGGCGAAGGAGGATGGTAATTTTGATAACGATTTCAAATGGCAACAACTTTTAAAGCTATATTCTTAGTTTTGAGCCAAATGACTTGATCAAGTCTCAACCTACGATGTAAAGATTTTTAACACATGGACGAAATTACTCATATTCCTTAACATTATATCTAAAAAAACCAAGTTTGTCATTGAAATCAACTAACTAAACAACTTTGTATCTTTGCTTTGCTTTGCTATTTAAGTATTAAAAAAATTTTCATTGGACAAAAATCTTATTTAAAATCCCCTGTAGCTACATGTTTTGTCATTTTTAGGCAAAAGTGTAAGCAGCAGAAAGAGAAATCATAGGGACAAGATAAGACATCATGAGAGCAAAGACGTAATTTTTCTTTTGGAGGCAGCAAGAGACGAAATCTTCCGAATGAAGGAAAAGACCTTGTCCAATCTTGCTAGAGCTGCTGCAAAAGCACAGAAAGCAATTGAAGGACTTCAGCACGTGGTTAGAGAGCACATCAACTCAAAGCAAGTAAAGACGAGGCAGCTCCGCGAGGCATCAAAAGAAATCAATCTTGTGCGATTCGTGTTTGACTTCAGGGCATATGAAGTGCCAGGAGAATACGAAGAGGACGAAAACAAGGAAGAAGCAAAAAATGACAAGAAACACCAAGAAAAGTCATTCAGCATTCCTAACACACACACACAAGCTTCAATGAAAAGAATAGGAAAAGACCAGGGCGGTTGTTCAAAATTGAAAATGACGTTTAAAAAGACAAAAGCACGAACGAAAGTGACAACTGTTCTCAATTCTTGTATCCATGGCGAGAAAACAACAGGCAGTTTGGTGACACAAAAGCCTAACGGTGTTGAAGGAAGGCAAAACCAAGGTAAATTATATCAGAACAGGCTTCTGAATCTGCAATAAGAAGGTTAAAATTTGCCATTAGTCTTCAGTTCTTAAACACTTTATAGCAAAAAAAGAAAATTTTTTTCATGAAAATTGAATATCGTGCACTTTAAAATTTGAATAGTAATCTAAATGTTAAAGTTTCAAAAATATATGCCTGAATGTTTTCAGGGATTTTCAGGAAAGCCTTCAAGTTGCCAAATCGCGGTAGCAGTGTTTTGCACGTCTGAGACAAGAGCTCAATACCACTCTTGATTTCATTCTTAAAAATGCTATGAATCCTTGCTGTAGCCTCCTATTTCTCTAACAATCGCCAAGGTAAATTACAGATATCTTTGCTGGCAATAAAACATGTAAACATTGTGTTTCTTTATTTCTTTTGCATTATACATAAAGATAATTTCTTTTTTCCAATCTCCCAGATTAAAAAATTAAGTTGATACCGACTTTTCTAGAACAAATTAATCATAAACAAAATTCCTTCAAAAGAGACCTCACAAAAGAAGGGATTTTAGGATGCTTTTGTACTTTTTTGTTGTGGTGCTCACATATGTTTTCATTTATTTGCTATTTTAGGTAAAGAAGTAAACAATAAGATGAGACATTCTATGGGCAATAGAGACACGAATAACGGAAAAGAGATTGATCCAATATGGTTTCGCGAGAGCAAAGACATAATTCATTATCTGGAGGCAGCAAGAGACAAAATTTACCGATTGAAGAAAAGTACTTTGTCCAACCTTGGTAGGGCTGCTGCAAAGGCTCAAAAGGCAATTGAGGGACTTAAACACGTGGTTAGAGAGCACATTAACGCAAAGCAAGTATCTACGAGGCAGCTCCGTAGTGCATCAAAAGAAATCAATCTTGTGCGATTCGTCTTTGACTTCAGGGCATTTGAAGTGCCAGGAGAACACGAAGAGGACAAAACACACGGAGAAGCAAAAAAGGACAAAAAGCAGGAAGAAAATTCATTAAGCATTCCACCATTTTCCATCACACATGTCCCAATAACAGCAATGGGAGAAAGCCAAGGTGATCATTCAAAATTGAAAGCAGAAAATGATATAACCAAAGTTAGGGCTAGACGGCCGGAACTGTTGGCTATTTCTGACAGTGGAGAAAGAACAAAGAAAGAGCTGTTTGCACAAAATACTAATGCTGTGAAAGCAATACAAAAGCAAGGTAAGATTTAATCTGAACAGAGTTCTCAATATGAGGGCAATTAATGCTTTTCAAGTTTCATTTGCAAGGAAACTGGCAAAAACATGGTTAATTATCACCTTGAATAAGAAATCGATGATTTTGTGCAACACAAGCCAAATAACCACATTGTTTGGCCATTCATTTTATACTCTTTGACAACCATAATTCAGTTTATTTCATCATCTTCAATGCATGGCGTAGAAATTATTGCTTTTAAGGAAAACCTATTCACAAACTCGCTTAGACGAAGAATTTCTCTTCAGTGCATTTGCATAAACTGTTCATTGCATAGGAGGATTACCTCTTCTGCCATGATAACGAGTAAAATTTTTGCTATCTTTAAAGTTTACTATAAAGTTGATTATTTTTGTAGGAAGTCCTTATGCCAATGACGCCAAACCTGTAAAAGAAATGGTTTCTGAGAATAGCAAGATGCAAAACGAAAGATTCTCGCTGGACAAAGAAAAAGAAAGAGTAACGTCGGTGCCAGCGTACCGTCCGATGCCATTACCGCTTTTGGTTTTAGAGAACCTAGTAGTAATAAGACCAATCGTTCCGAGAAAGAATGAATGTAGTGAAAGGTCAACGCCAAGTGTAAGAAAAGAGAAATTCAAGGGTGAAATATACGAGATTAATACAAACAGAGAGATTAATGGTACGATAGGGAGCTTTCAAAAAGAGAATGAGTTAGTATTGGGCTCATCAGTCAAGACCGTAGAAGATGCCAATGGGTCGACCACGACCACGGTTTTGATGGAAAATGTTAAACGTATGTCTGTTGGATGTTGTTCAATCCGGCTAGAGGCAGATGAAGATGTCTATGCAAATCTAAACCAACAAAAATTGATTTGGGAAGCCTGCCCAAGTGACGTGAAACAAGATCCTCTAGCTCCATTTGAGCCCAAAGCACATGTGTGCCCACTATTTGCCACAATGGACGCAGAGAAAAGTTTATCTCTCAACATTATAACCAACGAACCACCCAGAACGCAACAATTGAAATTTCCACTTGTTGTACGAACAACAGCAAACACTCAAGGCAATGAAAGTTGTTTGGCTGTCGATGTTTCCCCTCGTTATCTAGCACCGAAGGAAGAGGAAAACATATCCAGTGATGTTTGTCAAGCAAGAATCTCAAACATTTCAAACGAAGTGGCATTTCTTCCAACTAGTAGAGGATTTTCATTGCAGGTGGAACCACTAGCAATCAACACAACAAATATCGAAGCTGAAAGATATGAACCTGTCCAAATTTCAACTGAAACGGAGATGGGGACAAATGTCTCCGTAAACAGTGACAAATGTTTTTACGAAGATGTTCAAGAAAATGCACGGAAAGAAGAGGCGGAAGAAAAGAAGATCACTGTTGACTCATTCAGTTCAAAAATCTCAACGACAGCAGAGAATATAAACAATTCTGAGATTCCAGTCACAAAGACACCCCAGAAATCTTCTGCTGATACTGTTTCATCAGATTTGCGACGCAATGAAAAGGCATCTCATGTGGTTTCGACAAATGCAATAAAACTTGAGGCACACGATGATGATTATTGTGTCGCCGGCTCATCGAATGTCTCTATAATTACTAACAAAGGTGACTATGTCGATAAGACGGCTGACCCGATGGTGACATTTGAAAACACAAGGGTTCCTGGTACAACTGTAACCAAACGATCCGAAAAAAATGACAAGTATAGAACTATTACGATGAAAGATGATATTTCTAACGTCATCATACCAAAGCAATTGAAGCTAGTTGCAGAACATTCATCTTTTGCCAGTAACGATAGAAACAATAAAATGGAAGATGGAAAAACAGTGCTGAGTAAGTCTATATGTGCGATCATTATTAAATTTCATTTTTCTTTTTTGAGGATTCAATGTTCTAGAGATGACGTTATAAATAGTTTTAAATTTTGACATCTTGTCTTAACACTAGGAATTTCGGTTAAGCACATTGCAAGTTGATGAAAAATGAGCACCGATGAAAGACCTTCATTCTGCTAATAGATTACTGTTATGTCAGCCAGTTTTATCTCTTTATAGGTCATGAAAACCAAATGACCCTAATTTGTGTAATTTTGGTGTAAGGGGTCTGTTCTTATGTGACCAATGATCATATCTCAAGTAATCTGTAGCAGATTGAACAATTTTTCCATAACCACTGGCAATTTGTAGATACCTGTCAGACTACACGGTTGAAATTCAAAATTGTGTCTTATTTTTCTAATTATGACATTATCACATCTCGTTCTATTTGAACCGAATATAACAAATTTTTGTGTTACAATAACGCATTGGTTGATAAGAACAATGTTTCAGCTATCATTGGGTTTGCTAAATATGAAAGTATTAGGTCTATATTTGATATCGTTTTTTAATGAAAGTGCATGATTTGCCTTTCAACTGAGCGTAGGTCATTTGTTGATGATTCATAATGTGACTTTGATCAAAACCTGCAGGCGTAATACGGGCGGATGAAGTGCTAAAAGCTTTGCAAGCAGTTTCAAGAGGAGAAAAGGTTCATCCATTCTGGAAAGAAATGATCGTCAAGACATACAAACTTTTGGCTGCTGAAAATGAGAAGCAAAGAGGAAAACGTCCTTATGCTGCTCCTGGCCCAAAGGGTAGCCAGGGAAAAATGGAGTACACGGTTGATTTCCAAAAGAAGGGAATGATTGAAAAGAGTCAGAAACCTGAAGAAGTGATCATCGATAGAAGCATGTCGAAGGTAAAATTATTCACTCTGCAGATTTTGCTTCACTATCCATTGAACATCGATAGCAAAATTGTAGCTACATACAAACCTTTGTTTTTACATTCGGACTTTAGAAAAAACATGTTTCTAATCATCTATGTTGACAAACTGATGTGTTTCTTAGAGAAACTGCAAAATTTGGCTGATACAATAACAAACAGTAAGATACAAAAAGAAACAATAAGACAGTAGTTAATTATGTTTGAAGGGCAAAGCATTTGAGACTGTTTCCGTTAGTTCATTGTCGCATGGCTGTTGTCACAAGGCTGTTGTCACAAGGCTGTTGTCACAAGGCGATGATCACATGACTTTTTCATAAGGCTGTGTGTTGCAAGGTTGTTATCTTTTTGTTGTTGCTGTAGGATATCCTAATAAGGATTTTATCATGATGCTTTTGACGCATGGACAGTTAACTTAAAATAGGTGAAGTGACGTAATCGTCGTGGCAAAATGAAAATCAAATTTGTTATTCAATGGCTTAATAAAAGTCTTGAGCATATTTTTCAGTAAATAAGGGCACATCAGCCTAGATAACACTTTGAATTCTATTTTCTCTGTTTGTAAGTTTTATCCTTCCAATCTTATGCTTCTCATAAAATATTTTAGGATTTGCCAGAAGAATGACTGCAAACAAACCGAGCAAGCCCTGAGACAAAGCTAAAGACAAGCGCAAAGTTTCTTTAAACTGATTACTGATTATGTGCAAACATTGTAGATTAAAAGATGTAGATTTTTCTTTTATTACATATTTTGATTATATCATTGGTTGCTTCATCGTTTAGTTTATCTCTTTTTTTCTAACAAGGAACAATGTAACATCGAAAATTTATATGTTAAATTCGTCAACGATAATAAAAAATTCTGGAAAACTATCCAGCCTTTTTTAAATGATAAAAATGCAAAAGCGAATAAAATCATACTGAAAGAGAACGATAAAATCCTGTTTGACAGAAAATTAGTTGCACAGACGTTGAACAATCACTTCGTAAATATTACAGAAAGCCTCAATATAGCGCGACCTTTATCTGATAATCTGCAACAGTTGTCTGACGAAAAAACAGCCTCGTCACTATTAGATCAATTGAAATGCTTGGAAAACCACCGTGGTATTTTAAAAATCACGTTTGATCAATTTCCTAAGTTTAACTTTGAAAATGTAACTTCCAAGGAGGTAAGAGAGATAATTTACAACCTAGAGGTAGACGAATCAACAGGAGCCGATAACATCCCCCCAAAAAGTCAAAAGGCAAAAGACGTTGTCTCTAGACCACTAGCTGAAATATTCAATCGATCTATTTCTGATAAAACGTTTCCCTTTCTTATGAAAATAGCTAGTGTGTGCCCTATTTTTAAAAAAGAAGATTCAACTAGTAAAGAGAATTATAGACCAATAAGTGTGCTCCCCTCAGCTTCAAAGATATTTGGGAGAATAATGTTCAATAAAATCTACAATTACATCATTGTTAAACTGTTCCCTTTGCTTTGTGGATTCATAAAAGGTTATAGCACACAACACGCTTTATTACGACTTATTGAAGGTCTGAAAAAATGCCTGGATAAAAAAGATGTGGCTGGTGCAGTGCTTATGGATTTATCAAAAGCATTTGATTGCTTACCCCATATACTTCTACTAGCCAAATTGAAATCTTATGGCTTCAGCGACAACGCAATGGAATTTATGTATAGTTATCTAGATAAAATGTATAACGAGTAAAAATAAACTCAGATTTTAGTGATTGGATGGAAACAAAGCAAGGAGTTCCTCAAGGATCAATCTTAGGCCCGTTGCTTTTCAATATTTACATAAATGATATTTTTCTGCATTTGAACAAAAGCAACTTATGCAACTATGCAGATGATAATACAATTTGGCTGTCAAGTACTGATACGAATGAACTAACTGACGACTTAAAATCGGAAGCCGCTATTCTTAATAAATGGTTTTATGAAAATTTGTTGGTGCTCAATGGCGATAAAAGCAAGCTTATAACATTTAAAGCCAATCGATCCAATTTAGAGGAATCTAAAATTCAAATAAATGGTTCTACTATAATAGAAAGTAAGAATGTTAAACTTTTGGGAGTAACACTAGACCATCAACTTAGATTAGAAGAACATATAAAAGTTTTTTGTAAAGAAGCTGGGAAAAAGGTAAACGCTCTAGCCAGGATTGCTTCGTATATGGACGAATCTAAGCGAATTATTTTAATGAAAACGTCCATATTATCATATTTTAACTATTGTCGTTCTATTTGGATGTTTTGCA